ATGTTCACACTGTACTGTAGTTTGTTGAGTGTGCAATAGCTTTCCATCTTTAAAAAATGTACATACCTTAATTTAAAAATACTTTATTGGTAAAAAATTCTAACCATCATCTGAGCCTTCAGTGAATCATAATCTTTTCTCAATAGTGACAACAAAGATCACAGATCACCATAACAAATATAACAATAATGAAAAAGCTTGAAATATTGCAAGAATGACCAAAATGTGGCCCAGAGACAGGAGGCGAGCAAATGCTGTTGGCAAAATGGCGTCGACAAGCTTGCTATGTGCAGGGTTGCCACAAACCTTCAATGTTCAGAAAACACAGTATCAGCAAAGCACAAGAAGACAAGGTATACTTATAACCTCCACAAACAACTCTTAGACTCAGTCATGACCGTACAGCCCCAAAGCATTAGTGAGGCCCCGCTCTGGTAACGCACACTGGGAATTGGCCGCCACAGGGCAAGCTGGAGGAAACGGGTGCAGAGGAAGGAGTCAGCCACCTGGGCAAGTGGCCAGCCTCCATCTGGACAGGGTGACCTCGCTGAACTTCAGTGTCTTGTAGAAAGAGAACGATGTGGCCTGTAGCGTTCTCCCAGTGTAGAGAGGGTTAGCACGGTCCCCGGGGCACCCATCACAGTGCCTGATGCACAGAAGGCCCCCATGTTCAACTATTATTGTTATTAGGAGTGGAGAACTGGGGGATATATATATAATACTTAGTTTGTACATATTTATTTTGCCTACCTGTTCCTTGTCTTTTGTTTGTCAAGTGAGCTCCTCAGTGGCTTTCTCAATCCCATTTACCAGATCCCCAGCTGCTTGGCATGTAATAAAAGCTCAGTAAATCTCGTTGAAAGAAAGAACAATATGGGTGCCCAGTGATGAGTGTGGACCAGACCATGGAAAAGGAAGGAAGGGAAACAGGCTGAGGTACTGAGGAGGAAGGAGAGTCAAGCTGTGGTCAGGACTTGGGGAGGATGCTGACGGGACAGCAAGTGTGGGCTCTGGACCATAATGAAGTGGGGGAGGTTGCTTTGAAAGGGAGAGTGGTACATTCATATGGTTCATTACCAAGTTTTCAGAATTGCTAGGCACTGAATGTCCAAGGTTGGTTTGGAGATCTAGTCTATAGTCTCTGGGATGGAAATACCACATTCCAATGTCCCCTGAACCACTCCTCAGAAGAGTGAACGGTTGAAACAACCCCAGAGCCCTGAGCAGATGTGGTTTAGCCAGTTACCACTTCTTGACCACTCCCTCGGTGCTGTAATTTATTTAATCTTCACAGTGGCCCTTTGAAGTAAGTACTGTTATCACCCCATCTTAGAGTTGAAGAAACTGAGGCTTGGAGTGGTGATGTCACTTGCCCAGGGGCAGAGCCTTTTCTTTTTTTTTAAACTAGATTACTGGTTTCTTATAAAAGGATGTAACTCAGGAACCTGCAGATAGAAGAGATGTGTAGGGCAAGGTATGGGGGAAGGGTAGGGAGCATCCGTGCCCTCTCCAAGGGCTCCAGTCTCCCCAAATCTCCACGTAGTCACCACTCGAAACCACACCTGCGCTTTTTTTCCCCCATGGGCTGAAGTCCAAGTTTATTCCACTATATCAGGCTGACTCTCTCAACTGTGTCTTAAGAATCCAAGTACGGCGAGGGAGGGGATAGCTCAGTGGTAGAGCACATGCCTAGCATGCACGAGGTCCTAGGTTCAATCCCTAGTACCTCCATCAAAATAAATAAATAAACAAATAAAAAAACTAGTTACGTCCCTCCAACAAAAAAAAAAAGAAAAAAGAATCAAACTAAGGGAATTTATAGGTGAGTACTTGACTGATGTATGCACCACAAAGTAAATAAAAGATAAAAAAATTCTGGAAATAGAAATTCTACTGCTAGAGAGTCTTAATGCCATTGGGAGGGTGCAGTGGGGAAATAAGTCTCAAAAAAATTTTTTAACATCCAGGCTGAAAAAAGTGGAAAAACTAAATTAAAAATAGATGACAGGGTCAAATCATCTGTCTTAAGGCCACCAGATTTAAACACACCTGCTATCAATGAACAGGGCCAAACCTTTCCCCAAATGATCTCTGATTCTGGAGGTGGAGTTCACCACCGAGGCACCATTCTGCCTCTGTTGCTGGGAAAGCGTATTGCTATTGAAGTGACCACAGTGTGTCGGAAATGTTTATTTAAAACAGTAAGTGGATAAAGCAGAAGGCAAAAATAGCATTTCAAACTGATTATAAGCATATGAAACTGTATACGTTAAGATTGGACAGGAAGGGAGGAAGATATAGCTCAGTGGTAGAGCGCATGCTAGCATGCATGAGGTCCTGGGTTCAATTCCCAGTACCTCCCTTACATACATAAATAAGCCTAATTACCTCCCCCCCACCAAATAAATTTTTAAAAAAGGAGAAGCAGCAGCAGCTACCACTTAAAAAAATAAAAGTTTAAAAATGATTTAAAAAATTGGGCACGTTTTTGAGAAGAGAGATTGAGCTTGGGGATTTTTAGTTATTTGGGTTTCACAAGCGCTTGCTGAATACCTACTATGTGCCAGGCTCTGTACCAATGCTAAGGACACACAGGAGACTCCAAGAGCCAGTCCTCACCTCTGAGTTCACACTCTGACAGGCTGACTGGGAAACAGAAAACTGCAATATAATTTAATAGTAGAAGCTCTCGTGTAAGATGCTTTGGAAGCAGAGGGGTCAGGGATGGCTTTATGACAAAGACAGCACTAGAGCTGGGCCTCTCCGTGTGAAGAGGAAGTTCCAGGCAGCAAAACCTGCCAGAGTAAAGGTCCAGAGGCTTGAGAGTCACCAAGGTGAGGCGGGTCTGGGGCAGCGGTGGGAGATGAGGTTGGAAGGAGGGTCAGGCTCCTGGGTGCCTGGAAGCCATGCTTGGAGACTTGAGCTTTATTCTGGAGGCAGTGACAACTCCTTAAAGGTTTTAAAATAGGAATCATGTAAGCAGGTGGCCCTCGGGGAAGCTGGTGAGTGAGGAACAGGCAGAAGGTCTTTCCCCTGACTCTCGAGAACAAGGAACCGTAACAGCTAGTGTCTACAGAGAGCTTATTTTGTCCCAAGCATTGTGCTTGGTTTTTTGTGCTTTATCTCATTTAAACATCTCAGCACCCCTATGACGTAAGTACTGTTTTTATCTCCATTTTACAGGTGAGGAAGCTGAGGCCTAAGAGAGGTTGGCCCGCTGATAAAGGGCACTGGCTCTGTGGTCACACTGCCTGTGTGTGACTTGAGTCCTGGCTCCACCACTCAGTGCCTGTGTGACTTTGGGAAAGTTACTTTCCCTCTAAGACTCAGTTTCTCCACCTGTGAAGAGTGAAGTAAATGGTACTGATCACAGGCACGTAGTGCACATTCCCTAAATGCTTCCCTTTCCTTTCCTAAGGTCACGTCTTTAGTACTGGGGAAGCCAGATTCCAGCTCATTCCATCTGACTCCAAAATCCAAACCTCAGCTTCTTTGATCTTCTCCTACTCTGGTTCAAGAAATAAGAGAGGCTCTAAATGGAATGTTCTGAGTCACAATTTGATTCAGAGAAATGCAGAATAGACTGAAGGTCCTTGGCTGAGTCTGACAGAGGCAGCATACTTGTGACTCTGTTGGGCACCATACCCTCTGCTGCCCTCTGGGCCCCGGCTCCAGCCCAGGGCTCTCTTGGCTGCTGACAGGTGCTGGTGTGAGGGGCTCCAGGAAGCTCGCCTGCCAACTCTTTCTCATCTTCCCACTCTTCCTCTTCCCCCACCCAGTGAGAAAAAACGCAAGCCTGCGTGGACTGACCGCATCCTGTGGCGGTTGAAGCGGCAGCCCCAGGGTGGCTTCCACACCCCCAGCCTGTCAGCCCCTCACTTCTCCCTGTTTCTGAGGAGCTACGTCAGCCACATGATGTACAGCATCAGTGACCATAAGCCCGTCACCGCCACCTTTGAGTTGGAGGTAACTTCCGGGCTGCCCGGCACTTGGCAGAGGAGCAGCCATGCTGGGCCCCGTCCCCACACCCTCCCGCCCTGGGTTCTCATGTCAACAGATCCCCCAGGGGGAGACCTGTAGGAGAACATGATTGCCTTTCCTCCCAGGTCAGGTATCCCAGCTCTTCTTGGGAACTGTTGATGGCTCTGTCTGTCAAAAATGTGTTCAAACCCTTTGTCAATAGGTTTCCATTTCCTCCTATTCCTGTCCCTTGAGGCTCCTGAGTTCCATTATGCTTATTACCTACCACGTGAAGTACGACTTCCTTTCATTTGTCCTAAACCTACCTGGATCAGGTTGCAAAGGGAGCCCCCTCCATCCTTGTGTCTTGCCGTCTAATGACCAAGACGGTGATGACCTCCTTTGAGCTACTGGTTGCCCGCAGCCTTCACCTTTTCATACTATTTGCCTGTCTTTATACCGTTGTGTCCCTCCACCTGCCTGTAGCTGTTCTCACCAGAGGTCCCCAAATTGGATTTAGGCCTGTGGGTCAGGAACTCTGGAGGCCTGACAGCAGCTACCTGGCTTCTTTCTTCAACCTGTCAGCAACTCCCGCAATCTCCCCCACCCTACCCCCACCCTCACCCTCCAGCACTCAGCTCTCTGTTTGGTTACCCATTGGGCCCCCGGGCCCATCCTCCCTGTCAGGGCGTGCTACCCCTGACAAGCCCTTGGCTCTTTCTCTTTCCAGCTGGCCAGCCCAGGTCTGATACTCTCAGGGCAGCCTAGTGGAAGTCCTATGTCCACCCTCCTGGTGCTCCTCCTCCCCCACTGACCTGTTGGAAGGGCACAGTTAAAACATTTGTCTCAGAGAAGGGAATGATGCTGTGGGATTTCAACCCCCTTCCCACCCCTGTGTGTAGCTGAAGCCATTGGTATCTGCCCCACTGATCACCCTGCTCCCCGAGGGCCTGTGCACCATGGAGAATGACCTGTTGATCAGCTACTTCTTGACCACAGACTTCCCCAGCAGCCCCTGGGACTGGATCGGACTGTACAAGGTGACGTGGGCTGGGCAGGGTGCCCACCAACCACAACCCCCCCCCCAGGTTTATTGGTTCTGAGGGCTCCTGGGAGCTGGGCACAGAGACTGGAGAGTTCACCCCCATTCACCCCAGGGGTCCTTGCCCACCTTGGGGCTGGCAGTGAAAGGGAGGGGGCAGATGGTACGATGACCAGACCTAGAACGAGACCATCCTCTCCTTAGGACTTGATGTGAGTCCTGTGTTCTCCCAGACCACTGACCGCCCGATCCCCCTTCCACAGGTGGGGCTGCGCCACATTAATGACTACGTGTCTTATGTCTGGGTTGGGGACAACCAGGTCTCCTTCAGCGATGAGCTGATCCAGGTACCTGCCCCCTTTCCTGAGATAGGTATTCTACATCTCCAGCAGGTAGACTAGCCTGAGCTCTCCTCTTGAGTTCTGGAAGGAACAGAGAGCTGGATACCTTGTGCCTGAGAGCCAGGTGGGGCCTGGGGCCATTAAGGTGACCCCCTTCCTGTCTGTCCTCCCCTTCAGGTATACATCAACATCAGCGATATCCCTGAAACTGAGGAGCAGTTTCTCCTTTTTTACTATAGCAACAACCTGCATTCTGTGGTGGGGATCAGCAAGCCCTTCAAGGTAAAGGGATGCTGGTGGGTAAGAGGGAGGGTAGCACAGAAGACTTGAGCCCATCACCATCGGTTCTCCAAGGCCACGGGCAAAGGATCCCACCCCTATGATGGAGCCACAGAGGTTGGGGAAGGGGGAGATGGAAGGCACAGCCCCCTCTGCTCCTCAACTGTTTTGTTTTTTAACAACTGTTTTATCACTGCAGATCCAGCCTCGCTCCTTCTTCCAGGAGGACCCACTGGATGCAGCCCAACCACAGATCTGAGCCGGGATGAGAGTGAATCCAGGGCAGAGGCCGGAGCTGGCAACCAGCTCTGCCCATCACTGCCAGGAGCGCTGGGGGCCGACCCAGCCTCCTGAGGAGGAAGCCAGCATCCTCCTCCTCCCAGAGCAGCTCTAGCCACACTCCTTTGCTCTCTGCAGTCCAGATCTCTGGAATAGGCCCCTTAAATACAGGTTCTTGTTGCTGAGGTGAAACCAGCTAGTTTGTCAACAGTGAAGAGCTAGAGACGGTGCACTGGATGTGGGAAGGACCCTCCAGCCTGCATTTCATTTCTTGATTTTCCCCACACACACTTCCAGTCCCGCCCAAGCAGGCCTGCCAGGCACATGCCCCATCTGGCACAGGCCTGCATTCTTGTCACGCCACCCTGGGCCTTAGGCTGCCTGAGAGGGGGAGATGCTCACATTTGTACAGGCTGCCTAGACTGGTTGGTGCAAGCAGCATTGGGTTCCAGCAGTCTTGGCGTCTCATTGCCTGTCCCCCTGAGGGATGGGCAGAGGGTCTAGGATCCTTGCATTCAGCAGAAGCAAATGACTAAGTAGGAGGGGCCCTCCACCAGGCTCTTAGGTAGAGGACATAGGCAGGTTGATGTGTGTCCTGCCAGCAGCACCCCTCCCCCTTCCTGTCTGACCCAGGAAGTTCCAGGGCCTTAGCAGAGAATGGGACCCAGGTTTGCTTCTGCTGGAGAGTCAGGCTCCATGCCCCTAACCTGCCCTCTTGTGAAGGGTGGGCAGATGGTAGAGGGACTGTGGCGACAGCCTTTTCCAGGGCAGTCCTTGCCCGGTCCAGCTCATGTGCCCCTACCCTTGCCTGCAGTCATTGGCCAGAAACCTGCCCTCTCTCTAGACTGCTCTGGGACCTTGAGCTGGGGCAGGCGAAGAAGATAGCCAGTCAAGGTGTTTGGAGAATCTGGCCCTGGGGAGTCTTCAGAGCTCATTCTCCAGGTGCTGTGTGAACACCTGCCCCACTCCCACCACTAGCCTCCAGCCACTAGTGACTCAATGGCCCTTCTTCCAGGAGAAGACACCTCAGGGAGCCTGTGCTGTGACTGTCATGCCATCCTATGACCTGAGACTGAGGGACACTCCAGTTGCTCCGCATTCATACTCCACCCTGGGAGCCATGAAGAACTGTCCCTATGGCTTCCAACGGGCCATGGCTGCCTGTGTTCTGTGTCTGTTGCATCGGCATAATTAGAAACCTGGCTTTTACACTTACGTGTGACTCCTTCATGATGGTGGTGGGAACGGGCAGGCTTGCTAGACTCCAGGACAAGGGCTGTGCTGGTGCAGACTAGACTTTCTATGTCTGAGGGTGACAGATGTTGCCCAGATGAGAGTGGAATGAGGTTCTGGGGTGGTGGCCCTCTAGGTCCCTGGCCCAGGTGGAGTGTGCCACCTATGCTGTTGGGCACTTCATTTACTCTTCTGCAAAGTAGAGTGGGTTTCTTGGAACTGATTTCAGAAAACATGCTCACTCTGCTCTCACTGGTTCATCCTTCCTCACTTGCCTCTCCCAACACCTTAGTCTTCAGCCTTGGTCCCAGGTTAAGCTATCGAAAAATGTCACTACCTCTTCTCTCTGCCCCACTTCTCCCCAGGTCCCCATGGTAACCTCTGTTCCTGCCCCCAACACACACACACCTGAGGAACCCTGAACTGTCAGACTTGCCCACGTCTGTCCTTCTCACATGCACAACCATTGTGGGTGTCGTGACACAGCCACCTTCATCTGCAGGCGGGGAAACCAAAGCTCAGAGAAGTGGTGTGACCCCTTTGAAGTTGCACAGGCAGCTGTGGTGTCATGCAGGATCAGAAACGGGAATGGGGTCAAGACCTGGGTTCGAATCAGAGTTCTAGCTCTACCCACATAGGAGTCTCAGTTGTCTGTAAAATACAAATAATATCCCAATTCACAAGATTATTGTGAGAGAACAATTGTAAAAAACCAAATCCAAAACAAAGCAACACTATTACCCAATTCTTCATTCTGATTAAATGTAGCCCTGGGGCTGGATCTCAGGGCTCCTGAGACTCTCCAGGGATCCCCCTGTTCCTCCTCCTGTTTGTGGGTCATGCCCACCTCTCCCCTTACCCCTTAAGTCTTCACATACTCCTACCCCCTGCCTCCCTCTGCAGGGAGCCGTGAGTCCAGCAGTGATTGAGAGGCGGGAAGGGGAAGTGGGGGTGCTCTCCCTCCTCTTGACCCCAGTCAGGATATGGCCGCTCTGGGCCCAGCCCTGACCCGCTGGGTGGAAACAGGAAATATGTGAGACTTGGTGTGCGCTGGTCTCTGCGCCTGGCTCCACGGCTGATAAGGGCCATTGTGTGGCCGCCGGGGATGATCCTGCCCTGGATAGATGTGCTTCCCGGAGGAAGGAAGGAAGCTTTGCTGGCCTTTCCGGGGCGGGGGAAGCTGAAGGGAGGGAAGGAGGGTGCCAGGGAGAAGGTGCCTGCCTGAGGGGCGTCAAGGCCAATGCAGGCCCACTGGACTCCACCCCTCCTGTGCCAGCATCTTCCTCTGGAAAGGTCGCTTTCCCCATCCACTTCCCCCTTCTCACTTCCTATAAGGAATGGCTGGAGACCCAAGGGCTCAGTCCCAGGCCAGGAAAGTGTCAGCTGTGATTTAGCAACAATAAAGATAGAAAAACAGGAACATTTGGGGGCAGGGAGCACCTGAGGGTGCTATGGAAAAGTAAGGGGCAAACAGGACTAAGGCTACCCACCGCCAAGCCACCCAGGGACCAGCATCCCAAGCGTTTGAGGCTCCAGAGGAGGATGGGACAGGGGCATCCTCACAGTACCCTCTTGCTTCTCCAGCCAGCCCCCTGTGCCCAAAATGGCCAGCCCTCAGCAGCCCTGGCTTCTCAAACTAGTAGGGGCACACCCACTACTGCAGGCAGGAGGCAAGCTGGGGGGACATGCAGGAGGGGCAGTGCCTACTAATGGATCCTCTTGGGTTAGGGCATGACATACATTGTGTTTTGGGGAGTGGTCACAGTGTTCTCAAGCCAACACCAGTGAGAGGGTAGTGGGAGGCTGGGCCATGGAGCTGCTGGGGGGAAAGGCCTCCTACCCTTTGACCTGGAGTCCAGTGTCCCCCACGGGTGGCTACATCAGCTCCTCTGGTTACCTGGGACAACAGGCATTTCCTCCATCCCTCAGCCCCTCCTCTTCCTGCCCCAACCCAGCTGGGCCAAGAGGCCTCCCAATCAGACCTGGGCTGCTCCAGCTGTGTCCTGAGGCACTGGACCAGACACCTCCCCTGGGGCTGGAGTGGAAGCCGAACCAAGTGGCCATCCTGGTGTGAGACCAGATTCCTGGCCCCAGGAGCCGCTAGAGCCAGCAGGCCGGCAGGCAGGCTTTTGCTCAGAGGCCCCAGTGCTCAGCACGCTGGCTATCCACAGGCGGAATGGCGCTGCAAGTGGAGCTGATACCCACTGGGGAGATCATCCGTGTGGTTCATCCCCACAGACCCTGCAAGCTTGTAAGCTGGGATGCTCTGGGCTGGGAGGAAGGGTGGCAGTGTCTCCCCAGGGCCCAGCAGCCCCCTCTCAAGCAAACCCCTTGGGAAAGAGGTAAGCAGTGGGGAAGTGTTCTGATCCTTGGTGGGACAGGAACAGACTGGACAAGAAGGGGATAAATAGAAGAAAGACGCAAGAGTTAAGCCCACTAGGAGCAGGGTGTTTCAAAGCAGCGATCTGGATTTGAATCCTCTCTCCTCCAGCTCCCCGATCTTCAGTGGGATATGAACTAGGCTAATACCTAGGTGACAGGGCTGCTCTGAGATCGAAGGACCAGTGCATGTAAAGCTCCAAGTGCAAAGTACAGGCTCAGTTAATGCCACCCCTTTCCCAGTGTGACCTGAAGAACTGGGACTGGCCAGCTCAGAGCAAGCGTTGGGGGGCGGGGGAGGAGGGTGAAAGGAGAGAGGTAGTCACAAATAGGGAAGAACTGACTAGCCTGGCACGCAGGGGAGGGTCAGGTTGTCGGGTTTACTCTGAGGATGCAAAGGAGCCCTAGGATGAGCCCCGTAAAGATGCACCCTCCCACCCATCACTGCAGTGAGTGGGCCGGGTCTTCAGCCGGAGAAGGGTGCGTGTGTGTGCGTGTGTGAATGACTGTGATGCGCCTGGTTCCCGGGAGCTGGCTGCGGAGTGTGCCCCATCAAGCCTCCGCGGACAAGGGCGCGGGCCGGGGCCGGGGCTGGCCTGGCGGGGCGG